GGTAGTAAATCAAGCTTTCCTTGATCAGCAATATCACGAGAAAGAACATCTAACTTATCTAAAAGTCTGTTGGCATTGTTGCCATCAAATCCAACGCCATGGTAACCTCTGAGAAATATATATAATTTGAGTTTAACCACTTTTCAAAGCTAGGCCATAGTTTTGATAATAGTTTTCCAAACGTTGAAACTATTCCAATTAATGTGTGCAACTCAGGTACTGGAACTAAATTTTCAATAATTGTGTCTGGATCCTCTTCAAGATATAATAATCTTGGATTAATAACATTTTTATAATCAGCCATCTTTGATTTTGGTTTTCCAGCTTCTGTGTATTTACTGTAATGATAATCGAGGGAACCGAGAGTTCGTTTTTCTCCACCATCCAAAAGACTCTCTCCTTCACACCACAAACAACTATATTTTCCAGCATGGCTTGTAATGCCAAACATTGAGTTTGCACACTTTAAATCAAATGCAACAGAATACTTAATATTTTGAAGATTAAGAGTATCAACTAATTTTCTAAGATTTCCATTGTGTTCAGACACTCCTTTTACGATAGCAACAATAAAACAACGCTTAACTCCAGCATCATCAAGGTCAGGTTGGTTGCTAGTTTTATCATGCGGATTAAAAACATTCATAGTGACCTTTAAAAAACCTTGACCAGAATCCACAGCAACTCTTACAATTGTAGAAAGAGTGTCAATATTCCTTTCAGTGATTATATCATGTATAAATTCATCAATATCTTTAATATAAACCATCGATTTATTTACTATATCGCCAGCTTCAAAAAATTCTTCTTTACATGAAAAATATTCATTTATTTTTGCTTTTAAAGCCTCTAATTTTTTAACAATATTTCCTTCAATGCTACTTTGAAAGCAAAGACTTTTTCTAAATATAGAACACATTTTTTTGGTTTTACACTGAGATAGTTCTAAACATTTTATAAGCTCAATGATTGTTCCAAAAGATACTTGACTAAAATTAACACGGTCACATTTATTGTCTGTAGTTCCGGCAACAATAGTCAATGGTTTCCCATGAGTAGCAATTGTGAACTTTTTACCTCTACAAATATTTTCCTTTTTCATTTTTGTTTTTAAAATACTTGAAGCGACACGTTCTGCACTTGCTGATCCCAATGCATATGCTGCATTAACTAAATTTTTCACAGCTTGAACATCACTACAAAGATGAATAATGCTTGACTTAACTACTCCAGAACATTTTAAGCACATTCTTTCATTTTTATCTTCATTTAACTCAGAAGTAATAATATTAATATCTTTTGATATTTCTGAAACATCAGAAGTTCTTCTGATATCTTGACGGTTTATCTAAACAAAAAAATCTAAAACTATATAAACTAGTAATATAAAAAATATAACACATTAAAAATACATCGATGACATATTACTTCCTAAAACAAACTGTTTAAATGGTTTTTTTTTCAAGTTTATGAAAGTTCATTGAGACAAAGCTTTTTCTTTTTTAAAAATTAATAAAAATAAAACAAATTTACTTAATTAAACACTAATTCTTAAATATAGTTTTTTATTAATTTTATAAACTAACCTGGGAAATTTGCTTTAGCCACTTATCAAGGTATTTTGTATCGTTTTTTTCCAAACAATAAAGGTTTTTATAACAATTGCTAGCCATTCCAGACGATTTTTTTATAATTAAAATATTCAAATATAATTGATGTCATTGTATAGAGCTTGGTTTGACTTAAAAAATGAGGGGTCATTTGGCCTTTGAAGTTAAGCGGATCAAAAGTTATTGACCTTTTTGTAGTGAAAAAACGGGTAATTTTTTGACAAAAGGTATAGGGCTTAAGTATGGAAAATTTACTGCGAAATGGCACCGAAAATGAAAGTATTATTGACATTTGAATAACTTTTGAACCGATGATACATTTGACTTGAAATTTTACATAGTGACCAATTAACTATAAGAAAATAAAATTCCAAATTTTTTTTTTTAGAAATCTGTCAGGATTGACCAGAATTTATCTATTTTACAGACCAGAATTTTTACTAATTTATACATTTTTAGGGTCATACTGACTTTTTAATAACTTTTGAATCGTTATTAAATTTGAATTGAAATATTCTATAGCAATCCAACAACTATAAGAAAATAAAAAACCAAATTTTTTTTTTTTTAAATCTGTCAGGATCTACCAGGATCACCTATTTTACAGACTGAGAGTTTTTACTAATTACTATATTTTTGGGGTCATACTGACTTTTGAATAACTTTTGAATGGTTATTACTTTTGACTTGAAATTTTTCATAGTGATCAAAAAACTATAAGAAAATAAAAAACCAAAATTTTATTTTAAAAAATCTGTTGCGATTGTCCAGAATCATCTATTTTACAGCAGAAGGGTTTTACATTATTTTCTTAGTTTTGGAGAATAAAATTTGGGGTGATATTATAATTATACCATGTGAATATGCATAAAAGAATCATGGAATCCAAAAAATAAAACATTTGAAAACTATTGCGTAATTTACAGACCGGTCAGTGAAATAATCATATAAATTACTTTTCGGTCAGTAAATTGCTGAAAATGGGCTGTTCAAACAAATTAAACATATCAACTTTAAATAATTTGTAATTTTTTTAAAAATTTTGATATTTTTGAACCGACTTGAAATTTTAATTAGTGATCCAGTTTTTATTAAATCTGTCGGGATTATCCAGAATTGTTTATTTTACAGACTGAAGGATTTCTACTTATTTAACTGTGTTATGATGAAAAAAATTATGGTTGCACTATGCAAATATGCATAAAGGAATCATGGAATCCAAAAAATAATTTTCAGACCTGTCAGTAAAATTATTGCATAAATTACAGACCGGTCATTAAATTACAGAAAAAGGGATGCACAAACCAATTGGGCATATCGACCTTAAATATATTTGATATATTTGAACAGTTATTATATTTGACTTGAAATTTTAAATAGTGTGCCAGTTTTTATTGAATCTGTTGGGATCATACAGAATCGTCTATTTTACAGACTGAAGAAATTTAAAATTGAAGTTTTTGATAGAGATACAAAAAAAATTATGGCATTTAATTTTCTTATATACTATAATAAAATTAAATGCCATAATTTTTTTTGCATCTGTCAAAATTATCCAGAATTGTTAATTTTACAGACTGAAATGTTTTTATTTATTTACCTAGTCTTTTAAAAATGAATTTAGATTTAAATCTTTTTGAAAAAAAAGAAAAAAATTTAGGTTATATTATAAAACTTCATGCTATATGCATAAAGGATTGTGGAATCCAATTAATTCATCTGTTTAAAACTTTTGCTTTATTTACAAACCGATTAGTAAATCACTGCGTAAGGGCATAGAAATAAATCATTCAGAATTACCTATTTAACAGACAGAAGATTCTTTAATAAAACTAAAATTCAAATTTGAACTCTACCTAAAATTATAATAAAATTATTATTAAAAACAATACATCTAAATACATACAATAATACATCAAATAACATTAGATACACAATAATTTTAAAAAAAATATTTGTTAATTCATTTTAAAAATTAAAAATTAAAAAAAGTTATAAATTAACAATTAAAACTAAATAAATATAAAATATGAAACTTATTTTTTGAGATTTGTGAACTATCGACAACACCTAAGATGAAAAAATGAAAACAACATTAAAACAAAAAATATTGTTTGTCTAAAATTTATCTCTTGGCTTTTAGTGAATGATTAGAAGTAGTTTCAGTAACGAAACAACCTAATAATCATTTTTAACGATAGACACCAGCGAGAAAGTAAGCCAAGTTGTCTATCAACACAAAACATCACAACAATAACATCACAATCACAAAACACACAGACCCTGTGGCACTAAACGCTGCAAAAAACGCTGGGGCAGATATTCTAATGACGCCCTTTCTCTTTTAGACAAAGAGCAAAAATGCATTGTAAACATAGTTGGACCTGCTCTTGCAGCCAACCTTCAACCATTATCACATCGTTGTAATGGTGCTTCTCTTTCTCTTTTCTACAAATATGGGCACTGCTCTAAATAGCTAGAGTCCCTTGTTTATCTACTAAAATTCATTCTCTTGTGACTGTTTCTAAGTGCTCCAAAAACTCTTAATCTTCTATTTTATTCCTCGAACATCAGTTCTTTGGAATTCGCTTCCTTTATCTTGCTTCCCTGTTTCATATAATTTGCAATCTTTTAAGTCATCTGTCAATTATTTTCTTACTCTACAAACTTCATCTTTTTTCTTCCAGTAACTTCCAACTCCTACAATGATTGCTTGCAGCCTAGTTGGAACAACTCACAAATATACATACAATGACTTACTGTTGTTTCAACGCTGTGCCACAAGACCAACAGACACAAACATAAATAAAAAAAAACAAAAACTTAATCAAAATGACTAACCTGCATTATTAAATGAAATTATAGTCATTCCACAGTTCCAACAAAAGAGTAAAATACATATAATGACTTACAGGTAGATAAACACAAAGATACACATAATGACTACATAAATACAAACATACATATAATGACTTACGGGAGGGTCAGCACTGCTCCAGAGGTCCAACAGAACACAAACACACACATAATGACTGATAGGTACATAAACACAAACATACATATAGTGACTTACGGGTGTGTTAACACTGCTCCAGAGGTCCAACAGAACACAAACATACACATAATGAGTAACAGGTATATAAACACAAACATACATATAGTGACTTACGGGTGTGTCAACACCGCTCCAGAGGTCTGACAGAACACAAATATACACATAATGAGTAACAGGTACATAAACACAAACATACATATAGTGACTTACATGTGCGTCAAAACCACTTAAGAGGTCCAACAGAACACAAACATACACATAATGACTAACAGATACATAAACACAAACATGCATATAGTGACTAACAAGTGAGTAAAAACAAACATGCAAATAATTGCAGACACAAAAACATACATGCAAACACAAAAAAATGTAAACACAAGGATACATATATTGACAGGTATGTCAGCACAAAAAAAGAAAGCATGACTTACGGGTATGTCACCATGACGGCAGATGTCCAATAGAAAACAAATATACATATAAAGAATTGTCGGTGCGCCAACACCGCTCCAGATGACCAAACAGAACACAAACAAGAACACATTAAATTGAATGACAATAAAAATAATAACAACAATAATATTATTAATAATAAGAATAATAACAAACATAAATACAATAAATTAAATCCCCATTGTGTCAAAAATGATATTAACTGCATTTTTGTTTTTTACAAACTTCACCCTCCACATAACCATCAGCTTTTCCCTCTACCACAACACATTTCATCCTCCACTCTTTGACCAACTCAATATCATACTTATCTTCATATCCATCATATAGTATCTGAAACTCACACTCTTCATCAAATTCATTGTCGTCTAGAACACTAACCACGAGCCCTGAATACCATACATCCTTGCCATCATTATCTACCATTTTATGTTTTATTCTTTTTCCTAAAAACTTTGGAACCCCTTCCTTTTTTTGTGCCTGTTCTTATTTTACTTCCAGTTTCCATAATTAACCTAGCGTCACCCTCTAATCTGACTTTTTTTTTAATGTTAACAACATTTCTTGTCTTTCATTAATCTGTCTGATAACTGAACATTTTATTGCAGTTGCGCGTTGTTCAGGAACGTCTTTTAAAAATTTAAGAATTGATATTAGATTGGTTTTTAATTTATCAATACCAAATTTATGTAATACTCCCTTTTTGCCTTTTCTCCTAATTGTAACCACTTTTCTGGAAATTTTTGCTGTAATACTTTTTTTCGAAATTTAATTTGTCTTTGCAACTTCATTACAATTTCATTTTCAGTTCCTAGAATTTTTTCAAAATCCTCTTCACACAAAATTAAACCACTATCCTTTCCGATTTCTGTTGTCAAAAACTCTTTCTCTTTGCTTGCCTTTTATTTCCTTTTCTAAGTTGCGCTTGTCCATCTCATCAATTTTGTACTGCAATATATTTGCTTTTTTCTCTCTGTACTTTCTTATATACCCTTTTCTATTTCGCCTTGCTAATATAACTAGCCTTTCAATTTCTTTCTGTGATTTTCCATCTATCCAATCAGCTGTTTTGTTGTTGTTAAACATGATCACACCAGCTGCAGCTACTGTTGTCATGTTAGGTTTCATTTTTAACCTGCGGTCATAGGAAGCAAAGTCACGTTCAGACACAACATTAGTACGTGGGCAGTTTTGAGTTTCTTCAAGCACATCATCACCCGGATTGTAATATTTTCCTCCAGGCAATTGATCTCTTAACTGACTCTGAATCATAACTGAACATGTGCAACATATAACTTCAAGACATTCTTGTGTTAAGGCATCCAAAAGTAGGTCATTACAATTAGAAAATAAATGATCAAACACTTCATCCTTGGTGAGATATTTTACATCAAAAAATGTAGAACCACTTAACATTTTTGATGCATCAGAAGAACAAGAAACAAAATAATTGAACATTTGCAACCAAATGGTATTTAAAGAAAAAATATGACCCTCCTCTTCAATAATACGAAAAAGAGGTCCTGATATCAATTTATTAAAAATTCCCAGAGCTCTAGTTGAAGCATGAAAAATGATTTAGTCAATATCATGCCTAATTGACTCATGAAGAAAATTTGAACCACCAAGATTGAAAACAAATTCTTTAAGGTGGTCTTTATGATAATACGTTGCTCCACCAAGTACAAATATAATATTAATATTTTCCATTTCGCTGATCACCATGCCGATAGCTTGTAAGTTTTGAAAGTTCATACAAAATATCAAAGGTGCGAGAGTTTTGAGAACTTTTAAAACCACCATGAATACTACCTTCCTGCTCAACCACTTTTTCCCATTCTATTGCTTTTTCTGCATATATTCCTAGATTGTGGATAACGTGTAAGCCACAAAAAACATGATGCATTTGAGAAATTTTTAATTTTTCATTTAAAGGAAGCTGATCATAGTTTTCAACAACAAAAGGCAAAATTGCTTCTCTCCAATGTTTAAATTGGTGAAAAAAACTTGAATTAACGATAGTGCGATCTGTCATCAAAGATTTGAAAGAAAAAATAAGTTTCCTAAGATCATTCTCGTAGTTTTCCTTGTCAGGAGAAAATACCTTAGACATATCAGTGAGTAAGTTTTTTAGCTCTCCAAAATAAGATTGTGCCTCTCCCGAAAACATATCTTCTATCCCAAACGTGTAGTTACCAGATGATGTTGTGACTTGAAAACTACCAACCTCTCTAAAATTATATTTTGTGCCATCTGTATGAAGAACATTGTTTGTACTATTCAACATAGCTTCTCTCACTTGAGCTTTTGCTAAAAGGTTCATTTCACTAAAAAATTCAGAAGCCAAAGATTTTTTTGGAAGTGTGCCACATGAAATTCCAGCCATTTTTTGTAGTACAGTTTTGATAACAGATTTAACATTATTAACAGAAACATTTTTACTTAAAAGGTCGTAATATACCAAGTGAATTTCATCATTATATCTACCTCCATCATAAACGTTAATAACATTTTTTTCAAAAATGCCAACTCTTTCCTTCAGCTCTTCTGTAAGATTTTCAAAGTAATTCAAACTCTCCTTTAAGAATGAATCATTTGTTTCATCAGATGTTTTCAAAATAGTGTTTTCAATTTTTTTCTTTAAATACCAAGCCTTTTGTCAATCTGATTGGGAATGCTTTCTAGCCAAATCAATTTCTTTTTCTAATCTTAAATTTATTTGCAACAATTGGTTAATCTTACAATCTTTTCTAACGTCTCTTTTGTTGACATTTTGAACATTATATTTTGACAAGATTGCTTAATATTTTCTTTTATATTCATAACATCTTCTATTAACTTGTCTATTTTGCAATTTAAGGTGATTAATTCTCCGTTTGTATCTTTTTATTTGATAGGTCAAATCACCAGAAAATAAAGGTAGTTTTTTTTATCTAAATTGAAAACTGGAAGATTCTCTTCACTAAAACGTGTTTCAGTAAGAAATTTTTCAGACCTATTTTCTAAAGGGATGTATATAATAGAAGTTGGGGTAACAGGACACGACAATTCATCATTAGTAATTTGCAAATTTAAATCAGAAGATACAAAAACAGTAACTTGATTTGGAACAATTTCACTATTGTAGATACAAGTAGGGGTAGAACAAGCATCAGAAGGTAACAAACCAACAACATCAGAAAAAGCACCATTAAAAGATAAAGCAGAGCTTAAAAAATGTTTTTTAAAGTCCAAATTTTTGGCTCGATTTAATTTTACAATGTAACCTTTTAACTTTTTTAAAATCCTTATAAGCATCACTCTAGAGATATTATACTTACAGTAGGTTGTAAAAAATAATGAAAGATTTTCTAATGTTATGTTATGTTTATTTTTGTCTTTGCAAATTTGTAGAAAATGGCTATTGGTTAACACAAAATCAGGATATTTGAAAGAAATAATGCCATCATTTATATTCAGAAAATCCAAAATATTCTTGCAGGTTGCTATTTCAGACAACACTTTGGTAGCTAAAATTAATATTAAATTTAATTTGAGTGATTACAATAAATCTATTGTTAATCAAAGAGTTGAAGTTTGATAATATCTAGCTTTGTGAAAATAAAATAAAGGTAGATCATGAAGCTTAAGATTCTATAAATAAAATTATTGAAATATAAAATATTTGTTATACAATTTAAAAAGTCTATCAAAGTATGACTTACATTCTTGACTTATAGATTGAACCACCATTTCACGTAGATTTTTAAAATCACAGCCTAAAGAAAAGAATTTGAAATTAAAGTTCATTGGTTATTTTACTTAGCCAATAAAAAATATAAAAATAAATGAAAAAAAATATGATAACATTCTTACACATTTCCATTTTGTAAACTTTAGACTAAAAGTTTAGTTGATTACTATTTCTTTTTGTTTTGAAAAAAACAGTTTAGAGAATCTACAGACTAAAAACAGTAGTAAAAACAGTGAGAATCAAGCTTGTAGTTGAGCAATCCAGAAAAAATACCTTTAAAAATATAAAATCTTTATTTTTATTGCCTTGAAAACTTAAGTAAATTACTTAAGTTACTTAGTAATTAATTTAACTTACTTAGTAATTAATAAGGAATATACTTTCATTTTCAATTTTATTTGTAGTTAAAATTTCGGAATTGCAAAATCAAAACAAAAAACGTCATAAAATACGCGAAGAAATATAGATGTATATATACAGAATTCTAATATACAAATCCGAAGCACCTATTTTTTAAAAAAACATAATTAAACACTTGTTTTAAAAAGAGGAAAGGTTGAATTTGCCATTTCCACTTGAACACTTTCAAAAATCACTTTTTTTTCTATAATAATTAACCTTGAAGTTTTTAAATAAATGTTAAAAAGTGTTCACATTCCATTAGATTCGTCAACCTTTTTTTAATATATACGGAAAGTTTTATAAAAATTGGGTTTGCTTTGGTACTTCGGAATCCTTACCTCCAAAAGCTTCGTTTTAAAAAAACGTTCCCGCTTCAAGATTTTTTCTCAAAAGTGGTCTCAAGATATGGATAATATTTAAGTGAAGCCATCTAAAGCATAGTACTTTTCATATATGGCTGAAAAGAGGTTGAGTAACACTAATTGATGCAAAAAACCTGAGGTTGCTTGCTTTCCTATACAAAAAGATATAAGAGAGCAAACTTCATGAAAATTTCGTGTTTTTTGTCAAACGTCAAATGTTTTTCGCTTAGCCGTAGAATCGCTACAATTGCTACAAATAACTTTAGAATGGTTTACTAAATTTTGATCATAGCTATCCCAAATAAAAGTTTTTATTTTTTCTTCGATTGCTTTAGATATTTTATGAAGCTTTGCTGACTTTTTACCAAAGATTTTAAAACAAACAGCACATAAATTGTTGACTGCCATTTAATAAAATTCAAGTCGTTGTGCTCTAGAGTATATTTAACATCAAAAAACGCCGGTATTTGATTATCAAATTATAGCTATTTTGTTCAAAATGGCGGATATTTTTAACTAAAAATTATACTTTTTATTTTTTGATTTTGATACATTTTTCCATTCCCCCAGAGGTTTTTACAAACCAAATATTTATTTTCATATATACAACTAAGTGTTTATAAAAAAAAATCTGATGTGGGGAGACTTCAAACCTGGCGGTCAATGTGGTTCATAGTGATAAGCTCAGTATAAAATATTAGACATAACAAGCAGCATAATAACTAAAATTGATAAGAAAAAATCAAGTGTTTTTTTTGTGTGTAATAAACAACTTTTGATATATTGTTTGAGAAACGTAAGAGTCTTTTAGATAATACACTTAAACGAGTCAGTTCACTTTCTAGTTGATATATATGTATTTTAATTTATAGTCTTAGAAGAATTCTGAGCATCTGTTTAGATACAGTATCAGATTTTTTAACTTTTTTTTCAAGGAATTTTGGATATCCATATACTTGAATTTTGATTATCTATATACTATATACTTGAAAATTTTGAAGAAAGGAAATTATTTCCAACATATTAATCTATTCATTCCGCAACTAGAAATCTTAATCTATCCTGTATTCTATCTATATAGTATGTAAATATCTAAGTACAAACAAATATATCGTTAAAAAAATTAATACAGTTTCATAAATCGATACTTAACAACTAATCAGTACTTAAAACTATTAAATATTAGATGTGGTGTACCAAAGGCAGAAGCGCTGCCAGGGTTTTACGATATTTTAGATCAGGCATTGTGAAAACTCTAAACTTAACCTTGCGTCTACTAGACGGGTCCAAGAAATCCATTTTTATAGATGTTTTAATGAAAAATCTTTAATAAAAAGAGGTGGCTTCTTGACTTTAATTATAAAAGATTATATATTTTTATTAATTGATTGGATTTGAAGTTTTGCAAAATTTCCATTGTTCTTTTAACTTTCCATTATCATAAGAGTTCAAACTCTTATGGTGATGGAAAGTTAAAAAAAACGGTAGAAATTTTTCAATCCTTAATAGTTAAAGTCAAGAAGCCACATCTTTTTATAAAACTTTTCATTAAAACATCTACAAAAACTTGGATTTCTTGGACCCGTCTAATAGATTCACGGTTAAGTTTACAGTTTGCACAATGCCTGAAAACACACAAGAGATTAATAGCTGTTTTTTTAACTGTTATTAAATTTTCGAAGTAACTTTGATAATGAATAGAAAAAAAAGTATTGTCCCAAAAAAGAAACAGTATTACTAAAACATTCAAAAAATTAGTGATGAAGAATACAAATTTAAATAATGACATTGAATTCGTATGAACAGATGGAATGGTAAATGTGCCAGGTTTTGAAAATGAAACCAAAAACAAATCTTGTTTTTTGGTTATGATAAAAATTGATTTTATATAATATATGTTTCTTATTGACTTCTTAAGAGTACTGGAAAATAATTATAATATTTACTAAAAAGGAAATAGAGTATATAGTGATGACTAGAAATCGTTCGGTATTACAGAAATAAAAAGATTTAAAGGCTCATTAAAGTATAATGAATAAAATTAAGACTCTAAATAATAATAAAATTCCTTAAAAGAAACAAATCATAGTTATAGTAGTTATAAACATGTCATAGTTATAAATTTATGTCTATTTTTATATTATTAAGTCTTTATACTAATTAGAGTTTTTAAATTAAAAAATGAGAAAATACACTTCGAGTTCAAAAAACGGAAGGACACTGTTCAATAATATTATTAATTGAACAGGTTCCTCAATATTCAATGAGTCGTAATCAGTTCACAAGCACTTCGCAAGTCATTAGATTTAATTATGCTGTTGGGAAATATAAAATAAGATAAACTAGAAGCAGTTGGAGAATGTTGTTTAGGTAGTTTTAGTAGCAAGAGAGTAGATGTTTATGTAAATGTCTATGATTGTACTTGAACTGTCATAAGATAAAAACAATTGTTGTCAATTATGTGTAAAACAACGATATCTCTTTGTGAAATTAAGCACAACTTATATGTTATTATTTTTTTAAGGTACCCCAAGAAGACCTAACGGTCTTGTCACAGAGCATCGCGGAAGTGCATTTAGCCAGGAAGTTCACGCCTCCTTCATTACTGTGACGCGAAAATATGTCCAGAGCTCGTTTCGAACCTGCTTATTAAGCAGGCGCTTTAACCACTGCGTCACGGCCGCAATATACAAACTAAATTTCATAGACATTTATTATTATGACTTATATATATATATATATATACATATATATATATATATATATATATATATATATATATATATATATATATATATATATATATATATATATATATATATATATATATATATATATATATACAATTATTCACAAACAGTTATATAGTTACGCCAATTAGTCATTTGCTATTACAACTTCACTCGTAACCTCCTATTGCAAATGACTTTCATTACAAACTTTAACTTTGTTTGTTACATATAAACATATTTAAGTTTGGAGTTTAGAAAATGCTTGAAAGTGTTTTATCTGAAACATCAAAATATTTTGCCTACGTCACTGTTTAAAGGATCCATTTTAGCTTCCCATTTGTTTTTAACTTATAATATATATATATATATATATATATATATATATATATATATATATATATATATATATATATATATATATATATATATATATATATATATATATATATATATATATATATATATATATATATATATATATATATATATGTATATATATATATATATATATATATATATATATATATATATATATATATATATATATATATATATATATATATATATATATATATATATATATATATATATATTTATATATACTATTGTACAAAGAAAGACCATTAACGTCACAAAATGAAACATTTTCTCGTTTAAGTGAACACATTTAGTATAAGGGTTAACATCTAGTAAAGGTGCTTGATGGCAAGACTGATTGCAGTCACTTGTAAGTTTTCTATGGCGGCATAGAAAACTTACAAGTGACTGCAATCGGTCTTGCCGATTGCAGTCTAATTTTTTTTTGTTTCTATTTTTATCTAAAAATATTTTTTGAGACGCGTGATTGACATGCGATAAATTATTAATTTACAACACAACTTGTGGCAAATTAATCTTTATCGAAACATTTTATTACACCTCCAAGGATCAGACTTCCAAGGATCATACTTTGAAGGACCACGCTTCCAAGGAAATACCTTTATTTATAATTTTTTATATAATTTTTTTATTTGGAATATTTCTCTGAAAATGCATTTGTTCTATATCTAAGTATTTGATATCGTTGCTTGCTATTATATATCGATATATCTGTCTATATATCAATAGTATATATCTTTGAACTTCGTTATTAAGGTAGAGCGGGACATATATGGACACTTAAGAAACAAAAGTTGCGGATAAACTAATAATAGTTAACACTGTTTTTTATAAGTTTCTAAAAACTCATTGATATAAGAAAACAAAAAAACAACAAAAACTAAAATTCCGAAGATAAGCAACGACAACCAAAGAAATGAAACTCTAGACTAGCAATATTTTCACATTTTGCAAGTGGGTGGGGCAAAACGAGACAGTTAAAAAGCAGCAACTTTCGTAAATTGCAAAGCTTCAAAAATAATAAAAAATGGCGGCTATCTATTATATAAACATGTTCAGTCATTGAATTTTTAAAAAGTAATATACCCATATAAACTACACGCCCATACATAAAAAATAACAACTAAAATAGAAAAAAAACTGAAATACCCCCGCTCTACCCTAACCTATATATTAATATATGCTTCTAACTACAACTAAATTTAAAGTTAAACAAAAAGTATCATGGATCAAATAAATAACAACAAAAAATACCCTGAAACTATTTGAAAACATTTTTGATGAGCTTATTAGCAATATGCCGATATAGAACAAATATAAATATGCCATATGTGTCAGCAGGTTTTCTAATTCTAAGTTTCTTTTTACTCACAGCTAAAACTGCATTTTATCCCATTTTGGGTAACTGATCTTTCTTATATAATTTCTTACTTAATTTCAAAAAGTTTAAATCCAGATTT